TCTGGGCTGGGTTGTTCAAAGATGGATTAAGATAACCCAGGGTTAGTGTGAAATTTGATTTTAGATCTGAAAGTTTCATAAGAAAATTCAGTGTAATTCCATTTGTCTAAAATTTGATGATCGATTGTTCTAAAAAGAATTGGGAAAATCATTCCTAAACTGCTTTTGAACAGAGAAATATAGAAACCGGGATTAAAATTTAACCCTGGGTTAGCACAAATCGGCCTTTGAACAACTGGGCGCTGCTGTGTGGCAGACTTCGAAAGGGTTTGCTTTGGTTTGTTACACTCCGCTTCATGATTGGCCCAGAAAACTCACACCACTATCACGACCAATCAGATGCTTGACTGACGCCAGTCGCCACTGGCGCACTCTCATTTTCCCGCGCTTTAAGCATTTCTTCTGTTTTTACTTTCAGCTCTCACTGGCATCTGGCTCCTCGGCCTTCTTCACTGAGCGGTGTCTCTAATAGAACCGAAACGCTATTTTTTTTGCTTAAAAATTGGCTTGATAAATAAACGAATCATGACTTAATGATATTCATTTCATTAGAAATTATAACTTATTTGGTAAATTCTTTATATCAACTTCAACAGCTGGAGAGAGTTTCAAATTCCCGCTGAGCGCACTCATCACATGGGAACAGGCATTGAAGAGTAGCCGAGGGAATTTGTTTCGCTGTCATCTTCAAAACGAACGTCTTCAAAGTGTTATGAAACGATTAATTCAAACCTCAGCAATGCGTTCATCAAGTTTTAAAGCATTTAGGTAATTTTGAAGGGTATTCAAGAAATCAGAGTCAGTCTCGGCTATGCCTCAAGAAATTCTAACGCACCTTTGGTGCTCACTAAACAACCCAGATGCTTTTAATCTTGATGAAGGCATGGCTGATACACGAAGTAGTTGCTTATTTCTGGACACTACCTTCTCCACAGCTTTCTCATTAATGAGTGGTCCTTGCGTTGATGATGCATCCATACCATTCCCAACTTTCAGTTGTTCATCAACTGCCGCGGCAAACTTAGATGCAAATTCGTCGTAAATTTTGTCCTGTACTAAGATGCGATTGGCACAAATGCAGGTCTGGTAGAAAAAAAATGTACAAAAACTGAACTAGGCGCTGCCAGTTGAGACAACCACAACATAAATTAATTGGAGTGAAAAAGAAGGAAATAAACTCTCTCAACAAAATTTACATCTCTATTTATTGTCAAGCAACTGCGAAAAAAATATCATATTGTTTTTCTTTCTACTGTACTGCTTTTTTGATGTTCTATTTCTTTTCAATTAAGTTCGCGTTTTTGCTTCAGGTTATGTAAGAATAACGTAACGCCGAAGCTATTTATTTTCGCCAGTAAGCACGTTGTTTCCTTTAGATAATTCCCACTGCTAGTCGATTTCAGTCGTTTCGTTAGTTTTTGCCAGCGCTCTGTTGCTTTTTTCAAGAGTCATACTGTCGGACCTGGTTACGCAACAAATTGTAAGTTCGTTTCTATTTCATAAAGTTTTTTATCGTTGCTCTTGTTTTTGTTATGTTTTGCAATTAGATATTTGTACAAACTATTTATTTTCAGTCGAATCACATCTACAAATCTTTACATTTAAATACACGTCCATCTGGCAAATAAATTAAACATGCATTCATTTTGTGGCATTCAACGTGTAGTTAGTTATCTACAGGTGTATCCTGGGAATTCTTGCCTAGTAGGGGAGGGGAGGGGAACGGGCAAGCGTTGATTCAGAAAACACAGAAATTTCATTTTCACAATATGGATTAAATAAGCTAAGAAAAATGCAAACGGCCGACTATGAAGAAAGAAAGGGGGTAGGGTAGGGAGTTTTAGAACCTCCCTGATCTGCCCCACCCTCCCTTCCAAAGCAATATGAATCCCACCATCAGGTACTGTTTATCTAGAAATCTACAACCACAGCCGGTGATGAAGTTATACTCTCACTAAGAAAATTCAGTCTGTAAATCAACTTTGTATTCAGATCACGGATAAGCAGAAACTATCATATATTTTTAAAAAGTAACTTAAATTATCATGAACTATCATAATCGTTATATGAAGTAAGTTGTATTACCTGTGCAGTATGTCTGAACTTAGCACCCAGTGCTCCTGCTACAGCTGCGTCAACATTTGCTGAATCAAATACAATAAATGGCGCATTTCCACCCAGTTCCAGAGAGACTCTCTTGATTGGATCAATACACTTTGACATGAGTAGCTATTTGATGAAAAGTATCAAATATACCCTGTATCTTGTGATGTCAACAAGTTAGTTTAAATTAATTCCAACTGCTTGTAAAATCAGGATCAAAATATTATGCAGCTCGCCACCCAGAAGGTCAAGGGATATTCAAAGGGTGCCGTACATTTTCAGATGGCAAAGGAGGAAAAGTTTGAAGAGAACAAACCTTATCCCTTGTGTCTGTCTTCATTTTACCCTCAAGGGTACAGTTTGGGGAAAATGACTCTTCAAAAAATGGGTTGTGAGGAAATTTAATCAACTCTATAAGATCTTGAATTTTTGTGAACAAATGAGACTGTGTGCTGATTCAGTTCCAAAGATGCTCTGAGTACCAGAAACTGAATTTTATAAAAATGCAATGACTGTCTTTTAGATTGGCATCTTTTTTATTCAAAAAAGATTGTTCTCATACAAGCCATTGCTATCTTTGAAAGGCAAGGCTGTGCTCTAAGAAACATTGAAGGGAGCCCAGTGCTCTGAAACTGCCAAATCCAGGGTGCCCAGCATATGCTTTTTCTGAAAAAAACTAAAATTCCTGAGTTTCCCAAGAGCAAAAGTAAGGCGCCATGGGCCACCCGGTACTGCTAGACCACAGCCCTGAAAGGTCTTATGATGTACCAGATACACCCATACAGATCTCTTGTATTGGTTTAATTAAGCAGCATTTTTATACCTTTCCAGTTGCAGTAGAGCCAGTAAATGACATTTTAGCCACAATGTCATTACCAAGAAGTGCATCTGTGACTTGATTCACATTGTCACGGGAACAAGGAATCGTGTTGACCACACCAGGTGGAAAGCCTGCCTCTTCAGCCAGCTGAGAAGGAAAAAAAAGAAAGCCTTAAAATCTCGGAGGAGATTGACCTACAAAATCTCATTGTTAACCCTTTACACCATAACACCAGTATGCAAATTCTCCCTACTTTTCTTTATACATTTGCTAGGGTGCTAACAAGGAGAAATTGTCTAACAATCAAGAGCTTCTTAAGTTGGTGATCATTATCTTTATTTACATTATCTTAAATGTGTGATTCAGGGGTTGATATTACAGGGAGACTTTACATGCCAGTCACTTTAAGAGGTCAAAAGGTTAAATATTCTACCGAAAAAAATTTTGTTGCTATTTGGGAGAATTACTTTTTTTGGTGCTAAGTGCTTTTCACTTGCAGTAAACAAAACTTTGATCCTTAGAGTAAGAGGGTCACCAAAAAAAAAAATATTTGTGATGTATGACTACTACAAGAAATTTATACATTCTTGTGGATTAATACTTATCAGAAACAGAAATCAAAAGGATTTCTCAAACCTGGGGCCTAGAAAGTGGTCACCTCCCAAATTTATGTGGAGTTCCCATATGAGAGAAATTCTGAAACAATGTTTAACTTAGAGGAATAAAAGTGCAATTTAAAGATAAAGTTAATACTTGTACCTTCTGCAGAGCTAGGGCACAGAAAGGAGTTTCCTCTGATGGTTTTATAATCACTGTGCATCCTGCAGCCAATGCCGCAGCGGCCTTACGAGTGATCATCGCAACGGGAAAATTCCACTGTCAAATAAAACTGCATTTGTAAGTGCAAATGGACAACATTCTCCTTGAGAAAGTGAGACAATGGGGACAATTGATAAAACAAACCCCAAATTCTCTTGTAATTTAAGTTTAAAATCTCCATGTTTTCACTTATCCAAAAGAGAGGTTTATCCTCATTATTCATCACCATTTTGGTTTAAATAGGTTCATTTTTTCATCACATTTATTTCTCTCTTTGACCCAAATGGACGCCATATATGCATTAGAAAACCGCCCTACTTCCTCCACAGTAATGGCTCTGGTTTAGCCATGCCCCTCACCCCTTTCTGCCTGCCTGCTTGCTTGCCTCTACCCATAATTAACCTCTACCTGAAGCATTCAGGAGGGACAATGCACCAGTACTCATTTACAGCTGTTTAAAGAAAGGTTGTTGAGAAAAAGGACAATGAATTAATTTAAAGGGGTGAAACAAATATGTAAGGACAAAAGGATTAATGAACAGAGGATAAAAATCTACATGCACTTGAAATCAATAGAATATTACATTTTAAACATATTTCCTTTGGGTCACTTCAAATTTGCTCTTGTTGAGTTTCCATTGTTCTATCAGTTTGTCTGTTTATGCTTTAAATACAGAATTTTGGAGGTTATGTTGAGCACAAAATAAGAGTAAACCCTTTCTACCCTAACAATGGTAAGCACATTCTCTATACATTTCCTAAAGTGCTGACAAAGAGAATTTGGTCAATAATCAAGAGCTTCTTAAGTTAATGATCATTTCCACTTTATTCTCATAACCTCACTGTGTGATTCAGGGGTGATATTGTAAGGAGAAATTAGACAATAATCACTCAGGGTTAAAGGATTTATTAGTATAGTATGACAGTATCAACGTATGAAGATTACCGGAGTCCAAAGGGCAGCAACCCCAACAGGTTGTTTGATAGAAAATAACCTCCGTGAAGAAGCAGGTGAAGGAATGATATCACCATAGATCCTCTTAGCCTCCTCCGCAAACCATTCAACATATGAAGCACCATACTTGATTTCACCCTTAGCTTCAAACAATGGTTTTCCCTGTTCCGATGTTAACATTTTAGCCAAATCTTCTTCATGCTTCACAATAAGGTCATACCAGTTGCGTAGTTTCTGACTTCGCTCCTAGAAACAAAAGAAGTGAAAAAAAGACATTACATTGTTAACATTTTAAATACCAAGAGTGACCAAGATAGAATTTCTCCTTACAATATCAATACAATATCAAGAAGACAAGTGATGAGAATACAAGAAAATAGCAATCAGGGGATTACAAGTTGATCCAATGCCAAATTCTCAAACTAACACCATAAGAACTGTATGGCAGACAATAAGGAAAATTACTGGTGAGGCCCTGATAGGGTAAATTCCGACAGGGGACATGGCATTGAAACAGCGACATCAGGAAAATGAAAATGCGACTTCGAGCACGATATTGATGAAATTGCGACAGTGACATGAGAACCTTCCGAAATGGCGACGTGACAAAGTTTGAAATTCAGACGGGCAACATCTATACCCCTCTTAACAGGGCCTCACTGGTGAGATCTTGGAAGTTTAATGGTTAATGAAACAGAAAGGAATAAGGAAGTCCTAATAGCTTCCTGAAATAAAAATTGGGATGGGGGTGGGGGGAGAGAAAAACTCTTACTCCTTCCACCTGCATATTTTGGTGAAGAAAATATTGCTGATGCAATCCAGTCTTGTGATCTTTGAACAAATCACCATTAATACACCAAGATCGCATTTTTCAAAATAAAGCATTGTAGCCTTTTTTTTTTTTTTTATCTATCAAAGCAAACATTCTACTCATGCATGATCACAAATTGATTATAAAAATACCAGGCACTGTTAAGATTGCAGAGAAGTTTACCATGCCGTCATCTTAGATTTATATCAAGTGGATAATGAGGGGGTAAGAGACTGCATTTCACATTACTTTGCATTGTAGCCAAGTAATTTGTGCACGTTCCATTTTGAGAGCAGTGTAAACCTTTAATCCTATCACCACGTTGTCGCTAACGATTACTTCATCATTTGTTAGTTAACTATTATGGCAAACGAAAAATCGCCGCAATTTCGAACATCTGATCGACACAACTTCTAAAATAATTCACACGACGTCCATGCACTTAAGCTAATTTAGACAAAAGTTTACCTCCATCATACCTTTGTTGTCACATTTTTCCAGACTTTAAATGCATCATACGCCTGTTTCACGGCTTCCTCGGCATCTTCTCTCCCCATATCAGACACTCTCCCGATTTCTTGACCTGTCGCAGGATTGTAAACTGAAAACTTGGCCTCGCAGTTTTTCCATTTTCCTCCAATATAGCCAGAACTCCTGTAAAGGGCCATACCTCGTATGCATTCCAGTAGACCACACGGTGACCTTGCTCTCATTTTTGCATTGATGTTTAAAAATCACGTCGTTAATATTTAACTATACTTTAAAAAAGTGTCAATAATCAACTTTAAAAGGTGAAGAGCCGCCATTTTTAATTCCTACCAACCGAGAGAGGAATGGGGGGTGACATAAACTGTTTCATTAGTTCCCAATCTCTATCAAGTCCACTGAAAAAAATTGGAAATTTTTTTTCGATAGCACTGTGACAAGAGATCGAAACAGACTTTACTTAGGCAATACTTCAAAAGAATTTGAGCATATGAAAAATAACAGTGATTCTTGCAACGCTTAGACCCTGAACAGGATAATTATCGACGAAACTGTAACGAAACAAGGCTAAACTTCACAATACCCGGCATACCATCAGCTAAACAGTGTACCGTCGACATCATTTCCCTGTCATTGAATAAGAATAGCGTCTATTGTGTTATGCCTCATTCTTCAAAGCCTCGCGTCATATGTAAATGATGTGGACGGTTAATCTAAAGTTGCTCCCGAAACAACACTGCAGCAGCAATAAAACCGGCATACCAAAAACTAAACCGTGAGACTTGCCAGGTAAATGATGCTAAATTTATTTGTCACCAGGATGTAGGAAAGAAACATTCACAAGCCCTCGAATTCGCGATTGTATGCTCTGCCAACCGTAATAATTGGTGAGCTTATTTGGTTTTAAACCTCATTGATAGCAAACATTCTTCCCGTGGCCAGGATCAGTAGTGATGTACATTGTGAATCTGTTTCGCTTAGAAACTTGTTTTTAGCTTGTCTACCTTTTTCTAAGGTAAGTGAGACGCATATTTCATAGACGTTGATGTGCAAAGTATGGGAAGTACTGTATTTTCTGACGTATCTGGTCGTTCTAAAGTGAGGACATGCGTATGAAGAAGTTTGAGAGGAAAAAAATTCACGAGGTGATAATCTGAAGTAATTAAAATGATTAACATTATAAAAGTTGTATGAATTGCGAATTGCGCTGAATTTAAATTCCAGTTAATGACTGTTCCGAGACGCAGGTAGAAACTTTCAGCTTTCCACTGGCTTTTATCACTGTTCTGAATAATGTTTCTGTCACAAGGTTTGTTCGCGTCTCGCGTTTTACAGTGCCTTTTGTGAACTGAAACGTTAGAACTTGATGGATAGCAAGTTCAATCTTTAAAAAAGATGCCATGCAAAGAAAGGTCTCTCGCGGTGATGTAGTAAAAGTAATTACCGATAGTCCCCGATAGGGATTTGAACCAATACACCTTGCAGATCGTTCCGATTATGTTCGGATTCTCTCGGATGCGTTCGTTTAACCTACAACTGTATCCGTTTGCTAGCTAGTCGATGTACCGTGAGTGTAGTAAAACGCTTACTGAGTGTCGGTTTGTTGTGTGGTTGGAGTCGTAGTCTTGTTATTTGCATAAAGTTACTTCCTCTAAATCGTCCGATTCTTAGCGCAAGTTAACCATGAAAATCTCAATTGATTACTGAGCCATTCGATGTGGCTATTGAAGGATCATAAAACTTGAAATTCATCATGGTAATTTTTTCCGAGGAATGAATTGCGAAAGGCCAGAAGGTGTTTTACTAGTCATTTACTCCGGTCATGCATGACTGATAAGTGGTAATTACAAAGATAAAAATTTTAATTTGAAATAACGACACCCTTCGGTAAACCATTAAACTCAAAAGTAACATCAAAGGAAACCTTTATGATTGCAGTTTAGTATAGAAAGGGATGATTTGAACTTCCATGGGTCATTTATTACGATTCGTGCAGGTTCACTTTGTAAGTGACGCACTTATGCAAATTTTCGAGCTCGTCACTAAAAAAGGTTAATTACGACATACAGACATATGCTGAGGCAAGGTCATACAGGTTACCTCAACCTCGTTCCCAGGGCCTTTTCCCTCAGTTGGGGTGGCAGCTTCACCTCTAACCAAGGGAAAAGGCCCTGGGAACGAGGTTGAGGTTACCTCAGCAGAGTTCACTGTGTTTTGCACTTCGCCGACAGATATTTTTTAGTCAAGCATTTTTTTTGTTTATTTAATTAAGATAAGGCATTTTTTCGTTATCATGAGCTGTCAAGATTAGTTCATATACGTGAGTTGGATTAAGAAAGCAGCAGTAGGGAATCCGAGATCAGGTTAAAAGGACCATTCTTCTTTCGAAAAGTGTGTTTTCTGCCTTTGTGCAAGGACTGGAAAATATCTTGCCTTAAGCAGGATAACGCCTCACAGAGTTGTGAGTATATCAACATTATACGCATACTAGAATGCTTTTTTGTCACTTCTGTTTTTATTATATCCGATATAGGCGATCCTCACGTGTATTTTTTTGATTTCAGTTGACTAGCTAGCACGTGCGCAAGAGAAAACTTGCTTAATAAATTAGTTCAAAGAATTGGTAGATTCCGAGAACTTTATTTTCCTGGTGAATCTTCTAAACCAGTAGTACCCGAACCCGTGGTGCGAAACAAAATTTTAATTAAAACGTTTTGTGCGAACCAAATCAGCGATTTCATCGTCAGAAATCTCAACCCCGTTGATGGCTATGTTTTGAATCTTAGTTCTGTAGGTTATTCACGAGATACTAAGAGTTACCTCTACTGTAGCTACACTGCAGGTTTCCTCGACGAAACAGAAACTTTTTTATACGTCTGAGTATAACTCTCTTGGATGATAAATATTCATGGCACATAGTAATTGTTTTATGCTTAAAAATGATTAGCCGTATCATGTGCCAAGATATAAAAACAAGCATAATTTTAAGAATAATTTAGAAAAAAATCGGGCACTGCTAGTAGCATAATATGCTACGTTTATTAGCACAATCGACAAGGGCCTACATCAGCTCGCAAGACGCGCCCGCAAGTTAGAAAAAACCTTATGTCAGTGGTTCAGTGCCCTATAGATACCTTTCCTCATGCAAACTCTTGTTTCGATTATTTAATCTGTCTTCGATTCCAAACTTGCGGTCTGTCTTGGATTCCGTGGCGTACTGATTTCTTTTGGGTACTAAAGATCTAAAGTTTGAAACCACTGCTCACGTCGTAGACTGACTTTGGACAAAAAGAGGAGGAAAAATGACTGATATAACAAAACTATTCCTTTCTTGTGTCGGCCTAGGTTCAAAACTTTAAAGGAAGCACCTTTCTTTAATGAAGGGCTGGGTTCTAACTACCTTTTGTTTCTATTGGTAAGGTTCGAAACTACTGTCTGACGTTAAGAAAGAAGAAGTGAAGAAATGACAAACATCACAAGGTTTTTTCTCCTCCTACTCCTTGGGTTCCATCTGGATGAAGTATCAACTGAGGGTTAGTCCTTTACACATCGTTACTGTTAAAAGAAAAATAAATACGATTCATCACTGCTAGACAAAGGATAAAGGCTTATGTTCTCGCCGCTGAGGATTCAAAGTGATCAAGAAAGCGTAGTTTACGTATGATGCACGATCCTTCGCAGTAGATAGCGCTATTTATGCAATAGCGAAAATCAGAACTGAAAAAAATCAGGCCTGTACGGGATTCGAACCACTGACCTCTGCGATACTAGTGCAGCGCTCTACCAATTGAGCTAACAAGCCAACTGGGAGCAGGCCGTTAAGTTGATTCGTAATAAACCCGTGATGATAAATCAGATGCAATGAATATATGAAGTTCATATATTTTGGACTGCGGTATTAAATACGTATGATGCACGATCCGTCGCAGTAGATTTTCGCTATTTGCATAAATAGCGCTATCTACTGCGAAGGATCGTGCATCATACGTATTTAATACCGCAGTTCAAAATATATGAACTTCATATATTCATTGCAAAGCTTAGTTTCTAGAAATTATAAAATGATCCTCACAGTCGTGAAAAAAAAAACCGAACAATTTAGGATTTCCAGAGGATTTGAACCTCTGCACAGTACTGTACTTAAACCGTCCAACTGAGCTGTGACCTCGCAGTTACAGTGCGATACGTTAGCCATCCAACTGAGCACTGAAAGGAACCGTTTTAAGGCATGTTTCTTAACCATATCACTCCTAAGATCGCATCAGTAATTCTCTTTACTGTTTTCCATACAATTCTTATGATGTTAGTTTGGAGAATCTGGTATTTGAACAACTAATAATCTCCTAACTGATATTTTTCTTTATTCTCATCACTTGTCTCCTTGATATCGTATTCATATGTTGTAAGGAGAAATTCTGTCCTGATCGCGCTTTCCGCTGAATATTTCACCGCTTTCATCTCTCTTTTTACGCTAGATCTTGGGACCTTTATTTCATGTCTTCAGAACGGGACGATGAGAATGGTGGTTGACTTAACCAAAAACCCCGATCTAATAGGGGAAAAAATGCATCTGAACGATCCCAACTGCACAGTGAAAGATCTCAACGAAACCTTTGCTGCGTTCGAAATACCATTAGATGGCTGTGGAACACACCAAGATGACTCAAACCCAGACTATTTGCTGTTCTCGAATACGGTACATTGGAACCCAGCGGTTTCAGAGGAAGACCTTCAAACTCGTACAAAAGGGTTTAGAGCTCAAATCAGCTGCCGATATCCTAGACATGGCAAAGTTTCGGCGCTTATCAAATTTAAGATAAAAAGGGGTAATATTGTAATTTTAGAATATTTGTTATTGATCTAAGTCTTAGAAACGAAACAGCTTACATCGACATTTTCGCAACCTCGTTCCCAGGGCTTTTCCCTTTTTGAATATTTTGGGCGGTCCCGCCCGCCAAAATATTAAAAAAGGGAAAAGCCCTGGGAACGAGGTTGACAGTTTCGGTTCTGGTTTCGAAGGCGTGAGACGACAAGGATAACTGCTACCCCATCCCCAACCCCTTGGCCAGATGCCAATGAATCATAAGCACCCCTCTCGCCCTTTCCTATAATTTGTTACCGAGTTCAGCCGATCCTGATGGGGAAACTGGGTAGAGGGAAAGTCAAAGATCGAGTATTTCGATGCAGAAGAGAAGCTTATGAGCGAGCGCTAGTTTACGGATGCGATCGAGTGTTTCAATAATTTTAACATCAAGATAGACAATACTCAAATTCAACTTTTCCACATATTAAAAATTATATATTTCCTTGACTCAGAACGGCGCGGCCATTAGCTAAGCTTTGGGTTCTGGAACGAAGACAGATACGATCCAGTACCGAGATTACACTTCCACCTTTCGTTTGTGGGAGTATGGGCAGGAGACGCAACATGTTTTACGCTGAACCAAATTAAAACATGTGAATACCAGACAATTTACTTTCGTTTTCCAGCATTTTACTGACGCAAGTGAAACGAAAGTAACTTCAATTAAACAGATAGTCCATTATTGACAAGTTTTAAGTAAAACTGCAAAACTGTACTATTGAAAGTTTTCAAAAAGTCTTCGAGCTTTTAAGTTCGCATTGATAAACTTAAAAAGCTTACAAGAAACTATAGTGCGCCCGCATGTTTCTGGTGCCCCTGGCAAGCAATCGGACATGCGTACAAACTACAACTCTTAAACTTACTTGTAGTTCGGTGAGTTTAAGTGATAGAATTAGAGAGTTGATAATCTTAAAGTTCCTTCTGCATGGACAGTTTGCATAAGGAAGAAAGAGATGTGACTGACTTGTTCTCAGTCGTTTCTCGCAACCTTACAGCTGTGTATAAAAGAAAACAGATGACCGGGGACGAGCCAGGGGCCGTAGGAAATGGTGACGCGCGCCAGCTTGCTCCGACCCAGTCTCTTTCAGAAGTCATAGGAAGCAACGCGAGCTGAGAGAACCAGGGTGGTTGAATTTAATCAAGCCTTGGTTTTAGACTTCTGAGGAAAAATTATTTGAAAAGCAAACCATGTTTTCTTTCGCTCCGACGAAGGGCTAACGCTCGAAACGTCAGCTTTTGTAATCGTTACGGTGGCCAATTTACCATTTCAACTTTGTTGTTATATCTAAATTATTTCGACGCAGCCCCAAACAGTTTCTTTCGAAACTATCAGCCTTTATTCATGTTTTCTTTCCACTGCACCGGGCCCATTAGTGATGGTTGTTGTTGGTCTGTGAGAGGTCGGACAGCGCAAAATTCCATGGCTGTCAGGGCTAATCTCAACTTGTGTAATAGGTACTGGCTTTAACTTACTAACAGTGCTTTTTTTTTTTCTACAGGGTCTCAGACGAGGTTATTCGGACGGGGTGAGCCAGGGAGGGAGGGGGGGGGAAGTTCGCAGGTATGAATTCTCCCCCTTTACGGGAAGAGGCTTACACCGCTGATCTAGGTCGTGTACCAGCGGGCTCATATTCATGTAACAAGGCCACCCCCAACTAAGGGAAAAGGCCCTGGGAACGAGGTTGGCGACAAGGATGACCAGCAGATGGCGGATTTAGCACTAGAAAAGATTTTTGCCGTGTAGTCTTAGGATTCGCCCGTTTTCGTAAACTTAAACGATGATAGAAAATTATCTCATAAAAAGGATGGGGGGATGGGGTCAGTCGGGCAGTTTGTTGGTCTCTGCTTGATTTACGTTGTGTCCTCAGTGGCTCCCTATGATGTTTTTCTTTGCTCTAATTGGCTCTGTTATTACCTATAATCTCTTACCCAGATCCCTTTGTGTAACTAACAAAAAAGGTACAACTGCTTGGCCGTGGAAAGTCTGGGCACGAGACTAGTTATAACCCAGTCCCTCAGTTTTGGGGTTACGACACTCGATCGGGTGGTGCTCTGAAACTTGAAAAGGTACGTAACTGAAAGACTGGATTCTAGTTCTTGAGATAAATAGTTTATAATAAGATGAACAACCGAATCCTCCGCTGAAAAAATTAATGACGTTCCAAAGTGTAATGAGCCAAGAGGGGGCCGGGGAAAATTATTCCTCGAAGCTTAGGACCATAGAGGCTTGTGGGTTTTTTTTTGTTTTTTTTTTCCGACGAAATCTGCATAGTGCAAAAAGAAGGTATGTTTTTTGGGTTCTGGGTGTACTTGGTGTCATTTTATAACTATCAGTTTTACGCAAAGTGGAGGGTTTTAATGGGATGATGGCTTTTACGACTAACGATTAAAATTTTGGCCACGTTACGGTTACGTTTAACCCGAAATGAAATAAAATGACACACTGGAAAAAAGAATAAAAAGGACGGCGGTTAACTTTTTTACAATTAACGGTTAAAATTTGTCGATTTTTGTGCCAAACAGCTAAATGTTTTGGCCATTTTACGACTAACGGTCAACCCCTTTCCGACCTTCAAAGTAAGAAATCACTGTTTGAAAGGGTGCATGAAAGAAATTTGAAAAAATTAGCGTTTTCTAATAGACTTCTAGATTATCCTCTCACACTGCTGTAGTTCTGAGTGAAAAACAAGGAGAATTTTGACCTTACATCAAAAGTCACCTGACGCTTTATTTCACGCGCTCCTTCAACTAGAACTGAAGTATGTTTCCAAATTATGGTAACAAACCACAGCTGTAAAATTACATGGAAGTTGTGATTGATGAATAATGTTAAAATGGGTGTTAAGGTTCAGATATCTCGTGATTAATTTTGGCCGAACCCTTTGTAATGTGACTATAGAGCGCTTCGCACCGCACCAGAGTTGTAAGAATTAGAGTTACACTTAATTAAAGGTTTAATTTGAAAATGCCATTTTAATTATATCAGCTGATAAAAAGGGAATGTTTTTGTCACTTCGTTTTGGCAATACAATATCAACCAATTCGGAAACTTTCCTGAAGTATTTAGTTTAAGACGAGTTGAAGAAGTGCTTTGAAGAATTTTTCAATATATACTGAGGGTCACTGAATTCGAACTAATTGCATGCAAACAACGAAACTTCGAGTATTTGACTATTAACAATACGAGCTTTTGTTTCGTGGTAAATACACCAATCATATTTTTGGGGTTCAACTATATCCTCGAGCAATAAACTCTTGTGATAGTTTTGAGGAATGATCGACACTTCTGTTGTGTGAATAACACAAACTGAGTTAAATTTCGCTTTACACGTAAACTGGGCCAAGAAAGTGGACATGTAAAGTGTAAATCGAAGAGGTACTTGTTCACACAGTGTTTTGAAAGCAGTCACTGGGAAAAGAACGCTCGGTAAGTCACGAATTGTGTCATTCGCGTTGTAGCAATTAGAGCAAAGGTTTACCAGAAAGATAAAAAAAATTCTTAATGCTGACATCGACAGAGATGTTCACATTATTCTTTTTCTTTATAAAGGGCGAGTTGGAAAGAATCATACGTGTTATTTGAATGTTAGGCATGATTTGCTTAACATAGCAGAGATTCTTGCCGATAAATCGATCAAAAACCGGATCACGGAGTTTTACATGGAAATGTTGCATATCATACCTTTGGGGGGAATCTAACTAAAGAGCTTTTAAGAGAAGGAAAGGATGGACAAATTGTTAAGAGATGTTCTCGGCACAGATATAAATTGATAGAGTCCCGTTTAGACTTGAATTTGCATGTCGGTTTTTTAATAAATTGGATGCAAAGTTGACGTTAAAGTTAGGCCGAAGTGACTCGGAAATAACTTGTGAACATGATATCTTTTGTAGTAAATAATATTACAGAGTTTTGCTTCTTTAGAAAAGTGTTTTTCGCCATATATCTCGTAATATCTCGTGATTTCAGTACTCTACTTAATTACGTTTCTTAAGTCGGTGAAACAACAGTTGGCCATTTGCGCAACGAAACACTCTTCATCAAGTCAGAAAGAAATTTATTAACTTCTATAATCATTGAAGTTAATCATAAAAATTTCTACAATAATACCGCTTAGCATGAAAAAGCGATCTTTCGAAACTATCAAACCTACATGCTTATAATTGTAAGCGTGTTTATATACCGCACGAAGTATGCTTCATTGGAAACCCTCGCCAGTCGTCAGTTTCAACCGTTCTTTGCTTATTGTATATTAATCTGCCAGTTGAAAACTAGTCGATTAAGAATAAACACGAAATTGAAGAAGCAATCTCGTCTTTGTCGGTAGACATTGATTTAGAATTTCATTTTACTGAAGGAATTAAATCACTCAATTAAGATTTGTTTTCCGACACACTTCGCGCGTGTAATTTTTCAATTTTGCCTAATATGGTTTAAACTAAATCGCCTTTTCTTCAAGTTTGCGGCCTATCCTGTTTATTTCATTCATAGTTAACAATTTTTTAGTTAATTTTGGAGACTGTTTGGGCTAAAATGAAATAAACAACAACCAGCTCAGCGCAACTGTGGCGTAAAGTTGTTCAGTAACCTAGGTTTCATTTGTTCTCGACCATTCTTTAAAATGCTTGAATATGCAAAACTATTCCAAAAATTTTATTTTTTCCTCATGAAACACAAGCTAAAAAACAAAAACACTGATCAAGTTGAAAAATTACATTAGATCTTGACTGAAGACAGTTAATTTTGGAGGCCCTTACACAGAGATTCTTGTGTACACTGTGCGCATTTACGACATTAAGTCATAATTTGAATCGTCCGAAGAGGCTTCGAAAATGTACTGTTTTTACAGCTATTTTTTCATTATGATGGCTTGCTTAAATCACCCTAAGTTGAAACCTACAGTTTTTGATTTATACCTCTCGTCTGAGATGACCGAATGTCTACATAAGTTGTTTCACACTTTTCTTTAGCAAAAGGGTTTGACTGTGAGCCTATGGCGATTTAAGGGACCAAAAATACAACAAGCTATATATGCAACTACAAATAAGTTGGTCTCTATTAAGTGCACCCCATATCAAACAGATACCAACTTACGATGTAAATTGTCCGCCGTAAAGAGATAAAAAAGCTGAAGTTTCGAGCGCTAGCCCTTGCTTTCGCTCTTACAAAGGGCAAGCAGTTCGAAACGCTAGCTCTAGAAATTCTACCGGCCTCGCCGAAGCAGCACCGCAGTTTTGAGACTTAACCCATTTTATACCTTCGAATAAGCTTGCATTCGGCGGAAACCTCAATGAAGCGAAGTCAGACACTAAAATTGATCCATTTTATGACCATAAACACAGGTTAGGCTCCGTTCAAACGTCGAATTTCACATGTGCCGAACGTACTTAACTCCTATTTTAGTCGACTAAAATAGTTAAATATGATGCACGATCCTCGCAGTAGATAGCGCTATTTATGCAATAGCGAAAATCAGACCTGGAAAAAATCAGGCCTGTACGTGCATCATATGTATCTAATACCGCAGTACAAAATATATGAACTTCATATATTTCATTGTATCTGATTTATCACTTTCACGGGTTTATTACGAATCAACCTAACGGCCTGCTCTCAGTTGGCTTGTTAGCTCAATTGGTAGAGCGCTGCACTAGTATCGCAGAGGTCAGTGGTTCGAATCCCGTACAGGCCTGATTTTTTCCAGGTCTGATTTTCGCTATTGCATAAATAGCGCT